TTGGCAGGTAGTCAGTCTGCTTCATTGTTTTAGTTTAGTTCACTCGAAGTAGTCTATAGAATTCTTTATTGCAGGTATTGTACTTGTGAATTTCACTCCCCATAGTGTTCGCATTTTTATTTTTGTGTATTCACAAGATTGCTTGTATGATATATATACATGGAAGTTTTAAAACTTGCATTTTGATGAACAATGGTTTGGAATGTTCTTTTGGTTCTAACAATTTTTTTAATCAATTTTATTAACTGGTGTCATGGTGAGTTTGCGCCCCATAATAAAATGGGTTATGTATTTTCAAGAAGTATTGTACTTGTACTTCAGAGTAAATAAACTTCAATGTACTCGCATATAAAACAAGATCACCTCTTATGTTCTACTATTTCGGCTTCTAATATGTGTAAATTCATTTTAATTGAACGGGTAGGGTGAAAATAATACTTCGCAATTTACACAACACTAACATTTAATGCTAACAGCTGTGTCATCTTCTGAGCGAATTATTAACTCGCTCTTTTTCAAAAAACCAGTCATAGTTCTATGACGCTAACTATTGTCTTTTGAAGTTGAATACATTTGTTTCCAGGCTTTCAATAATTTTTTGAAAAAATCCACCTTGTAAACGTTGATGAGAGCTACCTTAGTTTTCTCTGAAAATAAATTTTTATTGGTCTACANATCATTTGAAGTAAAATGTTTCTGGCATCTGATAAGCCATTTGGTAAGGATATATATTCATCATTTGAAAATTTGTGATCGGAGCTACTCATAGATCAAAGACGTCCTGAGTAATTAGGGGGCATGTTATCAACACCTAATTTATGCTAATACCTCGCAAAATGAACTTAAAATTCCTAAAACAAGTCAAAATCAAACATCTATCTCTCAGGCACTTGAATTGCTGATTAAATATTAAACCTTCACCTTGACCTCTAACATTTACCTCTACATTTCATTCTTATCTATCATGAAAATGATTTTTCACAAACAATTATTTTCAGAGCTATAGCATATAAAACTGTAACATGCTTTTTAATAATATTAATGTGTCTTGTTATTGGGATTTATTCCTGTTTAGACATTAAACATTTTTTTTTTCACAATAGTATATTAAAAATGTTGAAAATAATTTTTTTTTGGTTGACATTAGATGAACTGTTACTAACAAAATTTATTTCAGGCCATACAGACGGAAGCCCATTCCCTTCACAGAGCATGTCTTCACCGGCTGCTTCAACCAACTGGCCTGGCTCCCCCGGCATGCCTAGACCGTCTCCTGCCCGGCCAGGACAATCGCCTCTGGGCCACGCCATCATGCACAGTCCCCAGCAGTCTGATCTCAAGATAGGCAGTCATTTGTCTCGAGTTCTTCCGCAAAGGTCTTGGGCAGGCGCAGTACCGACTCTACTCACGCACGAAGCTCTCGAGATACTGTGTTGCCCTTCACAGCATCCGCAAGGACTTCTAGTACTTGATTTAGCCCCGCTAGAGAGATTCTTGGGGTGCGTCTATATGAGGAGGCAGTTACACAGGTTCATACATAACGAGGCGTATGTAAGTAGAAAAAGCGTTCGATCTCAGAGTTTGGTTTATTATTATTATTGTTGTTATACAATAGTGAGCTGATGAACAAAATTTGGTGATACATAAATTGAATGTGAAAAGTAACTATTAGTTTTGACAGCAGTCAAACAATTTAGTTTTACATTCAAAAGTGCTACCATCCGTTTTCCTAACTTTTTCAGTTCTTGTATAATGATATTGGCTTTCATTGAATGTAATTGATGGTTTTTGCAGCTGACCATTTTAAATAATACTGAGCCAGGAGTGATCCACTTCAAGGTGGCAGAATCGTTACAGTGCCGAATTGGACTAAATACTCAGCATTTGCAAAGTTTGCATTTGAAAATCACCCCATTGCCTGAACACAAAGAAGTGTGGTCTCAGGATGACTTGCAGGTAAGTGACAAATAAATAAAAATAAAGTGTTGGACATTTGAAGAATTAAATACATCCAATGAGGCTTTTCACTTTTTTTTACAAGTTGGCCATTTTGTGTTTGTCGTTAGTATTAGTCTCCATATGTAGTTGACGTTTGTATTTTTCAGTTTCATTTCGAAAGTCTTTTCATTGTATTCAGTTTTCTCAATATGTATTGAAAAAATATTTCAAAATATTCACCTCTTCCAACATTCCTACACAGTAGGAAGAAATGTTGTGAACAGTTAATATGAGAATTGACTCTAATGACAAATACCCAAAGTAGTTTTATTTATTTATACAGAATAAACCCCACTACAATGTAAAAATTTCACAGAAAATAAGTTACACTCTAAAAATGTAAAATATAAAATAGGAAGCTATTGAAATACTTCTGCAGCACAAAACTATATAAGCATAAGACACTTTAGGATATAAAATTAAAATTAAAACTTGTCACTACCTCATATAAACAATTACCAATTTGAATTATTCAATGATTGTTCAAAACAACCATAAGAGACATCAAAAATACTGATGTTTTTGTCATCCACTAACTTTAGGGTTCTTCCCAATGGTGTATGTTTGCCATAATTATTTGTATGATGGAAGGGTATATGAAATAAATGGCTATGTCTAAGATTTCTATTTGGAACATGAATGTTGGCAGATTCAAGTAATTTAGGATATTTATCAGTCCATTGAGCAGCTTGAATGCATATCAAGATCTGCGTAAACTCTTCTTATATTTCTTGTAATATACAATAGTCATGGTACTGTATTTGAGCAGCTTGAATGCATATCAAGATCTGCGTAAACTCTTCTTATATTTCTTGTAATGTACAATAGTCATGGTACTGTATTTGAAGACCCAATTTGAAAGAACAAAATCTCAAAAATTTATTTTGCACTCTTTCTAGAGATACACAGTGCACATTGTGAAATGGAGACCAAATGATACATGCATATCCTAACTTCTAAGCACTACAGGAAAACCCTTAAGGCGCTCTAAGATTGGTGCTTGTGCGAAAGTTGTGATTCACATTGGATTTGAATTGCTGAAAATTAAATCCATTTGAAAAAATGTTCTCAGGAAGTTTATTCCACGTAAATGCAGTCCTCCAAATGAAAGAGTTCTTGAACAGTGAAGTTCAAGGTGTACTGAGTTGAACCTCAAAACGATGAGCAGCCATAGTCCGTCGCGTATTTCTGATATGTACCTCTCTTGGTGAAATCACTAGAGGAAATAAATCCTTTTCAATGCTTCAATGAAAAATCCCGAATAGTGACGTAAAATGAGACCTAGTGTTTTAGATGATTCTACACTCATTTGGTTAATATGATTTACAAATCTAAATTGTTCATCAAAAATGACCCCCAAATCTTTTATAGGCAATGTGTATTCTAAGTGCTGATGATTTATGTTGTATGATGTATCGAATTTCCTACCAACTCTTGAGCAGGTAATAAAATGGCATTCATTTTACATTAAGAAACAAGTTATTTGTAACACACCATTCATAAACTTCATCAAAATCATCTTGAAGGTTAAGTTTACTTAGAAAGAATACATGTTGCCCAAATGAAATCCTTACCCGATAACATTCATCGTAGAACAACTTGACAATTTTTTCTTTTCATTGTATTTTAATCATTTTACTATACATGAAGTAATGAATTGTCGTCTTGTTGTCCTGGTGACCATCAATATTAATATTTAGCTTCAAATTAGTTGTCTAATTTTCATTCAATTAGTTGTTCTCCGCCATTTCCATTATAGTTATTGGTCTCGATTGACAGGCTTGTTTTTGATTTACACTTGGCCTGAAGTTCAATTTTAATCTTCCCAACTTTGTTTCCTGTAGGTCCTAGAGAAGTTCTTTGATACTCGAGCAGCTGCACCTCCTTACAAACCCAATTCAATGTTCACCTTCTGTACCATGTTGAACCTTCCTGTGAACGTTCTCAAAGACTTCATTCAACTGATGAAGCTGGAATTAGTACCTGGCTTGGCTCAGCAGCAAGGCATGAAGTGGTCTGTACAGTACATGTTGAGGGTGCCACCCGGCGCTCCCCCAATAGTTCCTACCGGCGTAACAGGAGTGCTTCTCTTCAGATCCAAAGTGTTGTTTTTTGTAAGTACAGGCCCTGCTTTATGATCAGAGTATCTGTATTCACCTCTCTTTCGTTTTCAGCTACAAATAACGAGAATAGGCATTCAGTACCCGCTGAACATGGAACCCCCTTCTGTCATTCTTCCCTTCATATACGACATCAGCGCCAACGTGACCACTCTGGCGGAGAAACGCGACACTGGCGGCATCGTACCCGCTATGACGGCCGCCAGCCAGCTGCTAAAACACTTCAGCCAGTACCAGTCGAACATGAACGAATGTTCCGTCTTCCCTGCCATTAGGGATCTCTTGATGAACCTCACTTTGCCGTCCGACCCCCCGATCCCGAGTCCGGTATCTAGTGGCGTGCAGCAAATCCAGTCGCCAGCCATGCAAATGCCCGGTCAGGGCAACCAATACCCGGTAAATATGCCGATGGGGATGATGGGATCCCAGTAGGGTGGATGTTCGTTTGTATTATTGTTTTGTTTTTGACCTGTACATATTTTCGTATGGAGATTTATTTGAATTCAATAAAAAGTTAGTTTTCTTAAAATTGTTTATATGTTCATATTTGTGTGTTTGAATGCAAGCACAAAATTCACATTCAGCGGCTCCGAACACAAAAGTGGCATTCGACTGCTGATAAAAAATTGCATTCGGCGGTTAAACCAAAACTTGTATTCAACGGTTCTAAACATGAAAGTTGCCTTAAACGGCTCCGAACTCAACTCAAAAGTTGCACTCAAAGGTTCAGAACACAATTTGTATTCGAAGGCTCCGGACTCGAAAGTTGCATTCGAAAGCACCCAACTCAAAAGTTGCATACGAAAGTTACGAACACATAATTGCATTAATATAAATCAATAAATTCTTCTTCAGGGCTGGAAAAGAAGTTTCTTCGTGTTAATATTACTAATTTTAAAACCATTAGACATATTAGATACATTTAAAAAAATTAAAACATATTGCACCCACCAAATTTTCGAGACAACACAAATAGTAATATTAAACTCATTAATATGAAGAAACTACGTTTTGAGCCTTGAAGAAGAATTCAATTAAACTCGAAACGTCGGCAAGAAAACAATTGTTTTTTTAAAGAAAAAATTGATATTGTTACCCAACCAACCTTTCTTCATAAATATTTTGTTTTTTCTTTGATGTAATTTATTACCTTTCTAGGTACCTCTGATTCTGACCACGCTGAAGCAAATAGTCTCAAAAGGAAGGGTGGAGTCAAACAGGAGTCTGCAACTCGCAGGGCAAAACAACCTGCATATTTTGTAGCTGAACTCGCACATGTGGTAGCGATGTGTGATGAAAGATTGCCGTTTGTTACCCTAGCGATCGAGGTTGGTTCTCCATTATCTCCATTTCCATTGTAACATTATCAAATTATCATTTTTACTTTTCAGTTGACGAAACGTAACGTTTTCCACCAAGGTCTGCAGGTGGAGCCCAATGCAACTGGTTTAGTGCTGAAACTCATTCAGTTACCTGCTCCGACAAAGGAGATTAGTACTTCGTCTGCGTGGCATGCACTGCTGAAGAGGCTGCTCTCCGTCTCTATGAGAGTGTTGAGTAAAGGTGTTATGAAGAGTTGGTTGGTCGAGATGGTGTTTTATTCATCGCCTCTTTCCAGCACGCATCCCAAAGAAATGGGTAAGTTGCTTCAAAGATTTTTGAATTTATGAAATCTGATTGAACTCTTCAGTTTTCATTCAATTTTTTTTCAAGGTTCTAGGCGGCCGATTAATTTTCAGTACGAGATGGCCACTGTTGAGAATACTTCTAAAACGGCAGATTCATTGATAAGCGACTGGAACCAAATAGTTCATCTCTACACCATTGTTTACGATTTGAGTGAATATTTGAAAATAGGTAAGTGCTTTAGTGACAAGTGTTTTGTTTTTTTTTTGTTTTTATAGTGTCAAATGAATGTTCAATAGGGAATTATTATGATCATTATGGTACAGAACTAACAATAACAAAAACTATTGATAAATTCAATAATACATTCAAACTAACAACTTCATACTGTATCCATCTTTTCTTCTCTTCTTCTTCCTCCTTTCCCTTTTCCCATTTCCTTATCTTTTTTTGTTTCCCCTACATATTTTCTTGTTTTCCTCTCATTTTCTCTGTAGATTTTTTTTGTTTCTACCTCTCACTTCATGGCTATCTTCAATCATGCTTCTATCTCTTTCCTCTCTTACTGTTCTCGGATCCAGTTTGCTCCTCTCTTTATCTTTACTTCTGCCCCTCTTTCTACCTTCCTTTTTCATCACATTTTCTCAACCATTTTACTTCTTGCTCTTTCTTGTTTCTCCCTTTTTCTTGCCCCATCATTTTTTAATTCACTTTCACCTTCTATTTGTTTCTTCTATTCCTTCTTTTCCCTTTCTTTCCTCATCCTGTCAGAATCAGAATAAGATATTCCTACCGACAATTTTTTTTTAGCATTACTAAATCTTAAATGTTATGAAAATTTATGGTCTAAAAATTTTGCAAAATGACTGGCAACAATGCATTGACTATTTATTCATTTATTTGATTTCAAGACAAATACGGCTTCCTGAATAATTTTTTCTGCATCAAATCCTACAACTATACAAAGCTGGTGCTGTGTTATGGTTCCGACAAGGGTGCAATGGTATCCATAATGTGGAATAGTTCCAAGAAAGCATTCAAACTAGCATTCGGAGCGACGAATAACGCTTTGAATGCTCATTCGTTAATACAGGAGCAATTGGAATCGCACCTCAACGAGCATAGGAATCTGGCGCAAATTATCCAGCTTCTAAATGATACCTACGAACCACTCTTGTCGATCAGTAAACTGCCTACCCTTCCACAGTTAGGAATCCACAATACGGTGAGTAGGGTTACGGGCAAAATAGTCACCAGAAGTACCCAAATTAATAATAAGAAAAACACACATATAGTTTCATTTTGGTTTACTATAAATTTCCTAACAATTTTCAGTAACTTGGAGACATTGTTTAGAGTGAAAAATGTTGTGCATCTGAAAGTGACATCACCCTGTAACTTGACCATTTCGTATTTTGCAAATGGGCTCAATTTCAATTTTCATCTTTCGAAATTGAAAAATAATGAGAAACATTTATTATAAATAATTAAAAAATGTTGAAACATTTATTGAAATGATTTTCATAGAAATACATTTGAAATTTGGTAGCCATAAGTACCGGATTCCCGCAGTCTAGCTAAATACACTTTTTTTCTATTATTTACATGTGTAGATCATGAATAAATAACTTTCATGTGTTTTAGACACCTCTCAACATTTATGAAACTCAAAACCCATGTTTAATTAGAAAAATTATGAAAAAAATCTATATATCGCTTTCTTCAAAACATTGGAATTTATCCAGGTTCTGACCACTATAGTCTTCTCAATCACTTTCAATTAATTTCTTTAGAAAAAAGATGTGCTTCAATAACCTTTTTGCATAAACTACTGCACAGCCAAGTAGACTGCCATTTGCTCCTGACAGAACTGAACTTTAGGGTGCCAAGAGCTCAGTCACGGCTAAATCTCACATTTTACTGCTCTGCAGCACAAACAAACATAATATCGCATTCTCTCACACAAATATATGTGTGAAAACTACAACTCAATATGCAGCTTTTGCAATATTAATACTTGCTCGGCGAATCATATAAAAAAAGTTGCAATGGAAATCTTAAAGTGATTCAAAATTGTTTTTTCTTTTTTTGTGTTGTGAGAGAGTTATTATAACCAGTTATTATAACCACTCTTACCAAGTAGCGCAATGAATAGTTATACTATCAGTTTTTTCTTTTGTTTTAGTTTTCTTTCTTTTTTTTATGTTATATTCATATAGCATGTCAAGAATGAACATAATTTGTTAATTTATTTTATCTATTATCAGTACTGATGTATTTAATTATGTCCTGTAATTGGGTGTTACCTGTTGGGCAATAAATGATATTATTATTTTCAATTTACAATTGTTTGCAAACATGTGATGTCACAGTCGTCATATGACAAGTATTGGCGTTCAGAAAGTATAAGTTGTGTTTGAAAATCAATTTCAAATATTTTTAGACTATATTAGGAAATACGAAAGGTTTTAAATACTACTTCAAAAATATTCAACATCCATATTCTACGAATGATACTGATAGTCGCCAAGATACTGAATTCAATAAGCACATGTCAGTTGAAGAAACTTCAAATATATCATTGAAACTATTTGTTATAAAGTGCAGATTTTCATTGAGATTCACTTAGTCAACTTAGAAAATAATTTGCAATCGTAAATTGGCGCCCAACGTGGGGCGTTTTGGCAACACATGGTCTGAATATTTTATATTGATTGGACTTAATATCCTTCAGATAAAAAATATCATATACAAACTCACTGTGAGTGTTCACTAGAGGTGACTATTAAACAAATACTAAACAAAATAGCACCTTCATAATTCAAACATATACTTTACTAGAAGGGTACTTTTCCCAATAGTATCCTTTACACAACATGCTTCATCAATTCGTCAGATTTGGTACTTCTTGGGTTACCTTTTTTTTATCTTTGTTGGCAAGCTGTTTCTAGGTTTATGTTTTCAGAGACACCAAGTTCCTGTGCAGACATTCACCATAATGGCGCAGTCTTGTACCTTGATCAGGTTGGCCTATCAGGGGATGTACTGCCTCGAATTGAGGATAAGGGGAGGGGGCCTGGTCTCGCTTCGAGATGGTGCTTACAGCAGGTTCGATCGGAGCAACGTGGTTGATGTTTTCACGCCTACGCAAGGCCTGAAGGCATTTTTGTCGAAGTACGTTGACGAATCTGCTGTGTTTAGGAGGCGTTCACAGTCTGAAGACGATAATCCTCCTTCTCCAATGGAGGTCGAAGGAAGCGGATTTCTTGGTAAGATGAATTTTGGTTGAAGATGAATTTGATACAGTTGACTATAAAATTTTACTTCTTATATGCAACTCTGGAGTAAGATGTCAATTATTTTCATAATTGAAAATTGATATAAAAAGTAGAAAATATTGTGCTTATACCATTGAAAATAAAGTCTATGCAAGATACAGGGTATGAAATGAGGGTGAATTTTAGGAGTGGAAAGTGGTTTTTCGGAATTTTACCTGACCTCGTATTAAAAAGAATGATTATGAAAGTTTTAGGTGATATTAAGTTCTACAACTTTTGTATCATTTTTTCACAAACCTATAATTTTTCAAATCGGTGTCTACCAGTGAGGATTACTTCCTTCCTTTCTTTGGAAGATTCCCACATTTTTTTGTATCAAGATGGAGTAGTAGAAAGCCAAAAACTTTCTTTCCCAAAAATCAATCACTCCCAAAAATATAACCCCTTCAATTCAAATTATACTATTCTTCGACTTTTAAAACCATGAAAAACCCATCAACGGCGACTATTACATAGCGTTATTGGAACATTTGAAGGACGAAATCGCGGAAAAACGGACTCATTTGAAGAAAAAGAAAATGGTGTTTCATCAAAACAATGTACCGTGTCACAAATCAATGAAAATGATTGCAAAATTGTATGAATTGGGCTTCAAATTGCTTCCGCATCTATCGTATTCTCCAGATCTGGCCCCAGCAAATTTTTCCTGTTCTCAGACCCCGAAAGAATGCTCGCTGGAAAGAAATTTAGCGCGATGGAAAGTTTAAGGTTGAAACTGAGGCATACTTTGAGGCAGAAACTATAGTAATTTTCTTTTCTGAATGAACAGAATAATTTCTCACTTTTACTGTGTTTACTGTGTTACTTTTAAGGGTTATCGTTGGTAAGGGGACGACAGCTGGTTAACGGAAAAACAGACAGATCAACAGATTTTTGCCCTCTACTGTAAAAACATCAACGATAACAAGCGTCTCCAGAGGAAGGCGCCCCCTTCTGAATCCGCCCCTGGTAAAAAGAAAAAACTGAAACTATAAGTATAAACGATCCCTGGACTCAGTACAACTTCCTGTCGCCGTCCCCGCTGCTACTACGCTCATGACTCGCACCAACCACACCCAAAATAATCGCGCGTCGCCGTCGCACTCTACGCGCACACACATCCTGCCCGCCGTTTCCTGGAAGCACCAGGAACTCCCGATTACCGGACAACTTGCAATTGTCGGCATCAGTGTCGCACGAGAAGTGGGAGAGTGCGTGTCGTCTTATCGTCTACATCTAGTATCATCGCGAATCGCGTCTATAAAACGGAGAAAAGTTTAAGAAACAGTTGAAAATGTTCGCAGTGTCTACTAATTGTTTTTGAGGTGAAAAAACATGCAAAGTCCTTTCAAATTGCATGCGAATACACATAAAAAGTTTAGGACAAATTTCGCATCATATATTTTGATAATTTGACTTGATTATTATCATATTTTTGTTCAAAGGCCAATTACCAAAATCTCTTGGTGAAAAAAAAAACGAAAACCATAATTACCAAAAAAATATTTTAGTGACTTGTCAACTAAACTATGCAGAAAAATTCAAACGGCATTTTTCACCTCAGGTGCACATTATAAAAGTGTAATATGGAGACGAAAGATGAACTTTATTGCAGAAAAAAATCAATAAACATTCATTGTCAACAATACTTGTAGATACACACACAGATAGTAACTTCAAGAATATAATCATCTGAACATATTTATAACGCAATTTGAAACAAATTTGATGAAAAACGAAATAAAAGTGTATTGACAAAAATGTAATTAATAATGAACGTTTTCAAAATTATAGTAGAATATTTGACAGTGCAGTGCTAATAGGTATTATAGACACTTTACTTCTTGCTTTTCTTCGTCATTCATTAGCGAATTGAATATTCTAATGAAATACAATTCTTTTTGTGTGAGATACTGAGGAAAAGAGTGTTTCTTATATTAGAAAAATGCATATATTTCTCATCAATATATTCGAAATTATACCTCATCTCAGTTTTGGATTCAGTAAAAATGTTTTTTAATCTAATCAGACGCCTATAAAATAAATGAATCAAATGTATGNTATTTTGAATTATAATATAGTTTTATTTTTCTCTGCACCTATCTTTAAATATATATTTTACCAATGGAATATTAAAGAAAAGTAATAAAATATTTTTTCATTTCAGTATCATCTTCCCTTCAGAAAAAGTGAAAAGGAATAAATGATACAAGTAAAATATCTGCTCTTCTTGAATGTTACTCAACCAATATGAAATAAATCGTCTTCTCTGACCACCTTTAAGCTTGTTTAGATCACAAAATTTTATTTCTGAATAAACAGCTTTTCAAAAAATGATTATTCATTATCAAGTCGTGGGTTTCCTCAATTCTGTAGAATTCCTTGGATATCATGTATCATGGTACAATTCTGTACCAACCCGATGGTACAGAATTGGTGGATGTAGCCGTTACTCCGTGGTAGGAAATCATAATGAAAAGAGAAATGGAAATTTTTATGTTTTTTACCACTTTTATTGGTAACTAACTTTACTGCAGTTTCGTCCTATACGGACATTTTCAAACTTATACAATAAACTAACAATGATTCATTACATTCCCATGTATGTAAGGAATCATTGTAATGAATGTAATGAATCATTGTAATGAATGTAATGAATCGTTGTAATGTATGTAATGAATCATTGTTAGTTTATTATATAAGTTTGAAAATGTCCGTATAGGACGAAACTGCAGTAACGTTAGTTACAAATAAAAGTGGTAAAAAACATAGAAGTTAACCAAAAAAATATTTTAGTGACTTGTCAACTAAACTATGCAGAAAAATTCAAACGGCATTTTTCACCTCAGGTGCACATTATAAAAGTGTAATATGGAGACGAAAGATGAACTTTATTGCAGAAAAAAATCAATAAACATTCATTGTCAACAATACTTGTAGATACACACACAGATAGTAACTTCAAGAATATAATCATCTGAACATATTTATAACGCAATTTGAAACAAATTTGATGAAAAACGAAATAAAAGTGTATTGACAAAAATGTAATTAATAATGAACGTTTTCAAAATTATAGTAGAATATTTGACAGTGCAGTGCTAATAGGTATTATAGACACTTTACTTCTTGCTTTTCTTCGTCATTCATTAGCGAATTGAATATTCTAATGAAATACAATTCTTTTTGTGTGAGATACTGAGGAAAAGAGTGTTTCTTATATTAGAAAAATGCATATATTTCTCATCAATATATTCGAAATTATACCTCATCTCAGTTTTGGATTCAGTAAAAAATGTTTTTTAATCTAATCAGACGCCTATAAAATAAATGAATCAAATGTATTTTTTTTTCAATTTGTAACACAAAGTTCAATTTTTTGAAAAACGAGCATACTATGGGGTGATTGCTAGGTGCGGAACTATGAATCTCAAACTTCATAAAAAGAGCTGCCGAATCGGAAAATGATTTTTTCAGATCTACTATTCTCATCTGTATCAGAAAACAGAATTCTGATTGATATTCATTCTTATCTTTCTCATCTTCCTAAAGAAACTAATTTTTTCTATGTATTTTTATGAATATCCCAAAACATTATTACAGGAAATAGAGCATTTCATTTTACAAATGCTCGATGGAATTAATATTTTTAGGATTGTTGAATGTAGTATTGAATTTTGAAGTTTTGTCATCAGTTGACGATTTCGAAATTCCTGAGTCAAGTTTTGGTGTTTTTTTTTAAAGATTTATTCTCGAACAGAATGCTCTTCTGTGACACTGGAATTGATAGATAATGAAAAATGTTTTTTTGTTCAACGAATCAAAAGTCAATTCATATTGCTAAATATGTTTTTGGATAAACTATAATTTGATATCAATAGTTAATAATCCCTAATCAGGTATATAAAATGATAACAAGACCTGCTGCGACGATTCGACGACCGTCAATGGCTGGCTCTGCTTGTCCAACGTTTCGTTCGAAACCTCGATGATAGTTTTGTCGTCGAGACTCTTTGTCGTAGGCTTGCCATCGTTGATAGAATGGAAGAACTGGCTGCGCAGAATGGCGGCTTGTGAAGAATATTTCCTCGGCTGCTTCTCGTCGATGTCAATGTAGACGCTGTCGTTGCTCAGCGTGTCGCTCACCCTGTCGTTCTTCGACAGGGCCGACTTAGTGGCGCATCTTGCGCGGAAACTGCAGCTGCTACCGATGCTAGTTTTCTCAGCTTGGGAGGAGGTTATGAAGCTGACGTTGTCGTCGAAACGAACACGCTCCGATATGCAGTCTTCGGTGGTAACACAGCTGCATGAATCACTGCCTGGAGTCTGTCAAAGAAAGGGAATTATAAATAAGAAAAAAAAGGAATTATCGTATTATGAATTATGGTTACATTCTATCCAATCATACCGTTTAGTTATAGAAACGAACCATAATTGGCTAATTGCACACACACCGATTTTGGACGGCCAGTATAAAATCGGCTGATAGATAGATAGATAGATAGATAGATAGATATTTTATTGGTGACGGGTGCTTGCAGACTCACCGGATTTTTACCGGTCACCGTATTTAGCACGCACTACCAAAACTAAGTTAATACGTAGTAACTATAATTTCACCGAGCAGTCGAGACTGAAATGGTCGGTAAAAAACCGGTGAGTATGCAAGACTGGATTTAGTCACGTACGCCACTACTACTCGGTACTTCCGGCGATACAGTCGTAGTGGACGGCAGTATTGCCAACTGGATAAACTACAAAGTCGCTACACATAAAGCGAAATTCCGCTACACTGCTTTATATTCCGTTACGCTTGTATATCTGACGCAAATTAGTCTTTTAGTTTCAAAATATTGGAAGTTACTCAGCTACTGAGACTATAACGTATTAACTGTGCATTTAATTCTTTGAGTGCTGTCCACTGCCTCTTCTTCTTCCATATTTTTTTCAATATTGATTATTTGTGGAAATTTCCGCTACTTTATGTTCAAATCCGTTACGCCGCTACCACAGTAAAATAATTCTGTGCCGCTACCGTCGAGTAAATTCCGCTACGGTAGTGGAATTCCGCTACAGTTGACAACACTGCTCACCGGTATTTTACTGGCGACGATCACCGGTCGGCGTGTGTGCCAGGTCCTGTTCCCACATGTGGTTCACTATTGGAATTTGGAAGACCGGTATAAAATCGGCCGTCCAAAATCTGTGTGTGTGTGCATTTAGCGATTTCATTGAAAAAAAACTGGTGCAACCAATAATTTTCTACTTTTTAAAACGAAGGAGTCCAATTGCAATGGTTTTTCATTATCTAGAATAATTCAGTCTCTTTTTTATAATTATGTCACAGGTAAAAGAGGGTATTTGCGAAACGCCTTGTAGATTTTACCAGCACTCAAATTGAATAAAATTTTTGACAAACCATTCCATTCAAATTTGACATCAAAGTCAGTGTACAGAAGTTTGCTTTTTATCTTGAGTAAAACTTTCCTTTACAACATGCGTATGTTCAAGTGAAAATACATGCATTTTTTTAACAATTCAATAATGATAATAATGTTTATTTGAATGATATACATATAAATTGATAAAAAAATAATGATCAACGCTGAGGTAAATCACGACTATGGAGGATTCTCTTAAAAAAAGTAATCAATACTGAGTGCGAAGAATAAAGGTCTCTGCCCATTACACCCGTACCAACCATGGCCGTGCTAGGACCGTATCAGACACGGAAAATAACACGAAACGGTCTACCTTGCCTACTGTAATGGATCAACCGTGTTTTAAGCCGTAAGAAACACGTATAATAACCGTATTATAGGGGTATGATGATCGTTAGACGCCCCCTTGACAACTGTTGGTAATGTGAAGTATTGTATGTTATTCCAGGTTACTCATCAGTGTAGTGTGAAGAGTTTACCATGAAGAACGAATATGGCTATGAGATTATCTGCTCGACAATTGGCATTGTCGAGCTATTATGTTCAACGATGAAGCAGTAACTCAAAAAAAAAATCCGACGCCATTGGATTCACGACTCTTCAAGTGAAGGAAAATATTGGTCATTATTTAGACATTTAGTTGATTTTGAGGAAAATTTTATTCAGTATTTTCGAATGTCTACATTTCAATGGAATGTATTGCTGAATAAAACTGAAAATGATTTACAACCCGTTTATACAGCGTTTCGCTGCCGGAGACCTACAATTTAGCAACGTTACATGCCATGCACGTTGCGTATCAGCACCGCCAAAATATTCTCGACTCGAATACTGTGATGGCACGTGCATGCTACGCTACATGCCGTACCAGTGACGGAACGGTCTAGTGGGCGTTGGTTCATATAAATTGTATGAAAAAATATTTTTTAGTATGTGCCGGTACATTTACGGTCATGGTATAGGTACGGTATAGTGGGCAGAGACCTTAAATGTATAAATAATGTACAAATAATGAAAAGTAACAATATAACAATGAGAGAATGTAGTATACCACATTCTATAGGTTTATCGAAGTTCAGAATACCATTTATGTTGACGATTAGGCTCATTTAGGTACTTAGTCCGTACTTACCTTGTAGTTCAACATGGATCCTGCCAACGCCCTCACGCTGGCACCAGTGTCATCGGCTATGCTCGCGTTGACAGATTCGCTGAGACTGCTTAAGCTGAAACGCTGCGCTGACACTAGATCAGCCTGGACCTCTAAACGCTGTCCTCCAGACTGGTGCAAGCTTCCAGCCAGAGCCACTGTGCTCGCAGATTCTCTATCCCTGTCAACAAAATTATACGTGTATAATATAAAAAAATATGTTGGGATTTGACATTTTTCACAACATCTTCAAGGCAAACTGAAAAAGGGTCATTTTTAATATAATAGCAATTTATTAGGTCACTACTGATAACATAATATTATTACAGAAGCGATTTGAAGGCCATCGAAATGATTGAAAAAAAGATGCTTTCAAAAGAACACATGTTCGTATCAACAGCATCAACAGTTGATACTTCAAGAAGAGTACCTCGACCACGCCACTGAAGAATACTGCCACAGTTGCAGTTAAGACGTTTGGAGATTGTAAGCAAAAAAGGGCACTGCAAAACCCAGAAACCAACAAAAATACAGAACTCATGTCTATTGGACAGTTTCTTGTTGTTTATTGAAAAGTTTCTACGTTTTGAAATATCTTATGCTACAAAACTGATAGTTTTTTTTTAACTGATAACTGCGTGCACTTCACATTCCATAGTAAGTAAATTTTATATTCTGCATACTGGAATATTCGAATTGACCAAAAATAATGAAATGGGTTCACTTTTCAGTGAGTTCAGAAAATAAAAGGAATCCTACAATTATTTTCTGAGCCGTTCGTTTTGAACTATGTTTAGAACTACAGTACCCTCTCCCTACCCTCTCAAGCACTTGAATCGTGCTCAGTGCAACAAACTTTTTGGAGTTATGTATGTTTTTATTGTGATTAAACGATATTACCGTTTGGAATCATCGGCAATTGACATAAAACATATAATTTATATAGCAGTTGGCACAATGAGAATAGTTTTTTCAAATATTATCAGTGACCCACTAACCGTATTTAGAAACACAACCACTCTATGAATTACTATCAGTTTTACGTCCACCGCTGATGAGACAGTTATTACTACAAAACTTTAAAATTACAATGGCTAATGTGGATCACGCAAAGGGTTAGTAAACAAACAGTTGTCCTGCAGAATTCACTATGAAACATTTCATTTGGTAGTTGAATTGGTGCAAAATGCGCGGTGTTGTTCAAGTTCATGTAACTCCACAAATAAACCTCTACTTCTCGACTCATTTAGGATGCACAAAGTGTGAGGCATGTGTAAATATCTGAATTACTAAACTATATCCATCCAACAACCAAAGATAGATGCACGATCAAAGCATGATCACCACGCACATTTGCCTCCTTACGCTGGCCAATCAGATTTAACTGCAATCGGCTGACGGAATTCATGTTACTGGAGCGATATTCTTAGACGTCACCAAGGCGTTCGACAGAGTTTGGCATGACGGACTTCTAGCTAAAATGAACAATTTTAGCTACTAGAAACAAATGGTAAGACTAATTGAATCTTTTCTAGCAAATCACCAGATATTTGCAACAGATTAGAGGAATGGACCAACCTTTGGAAAATTAGTATAAACCCTGACAAGAGTCAGGCGATACTGTTCACCCGGAGGCTGGTACAACCGAAAGGAAATGTCATCTTCAATTGACAAGAGATTCCGTGGACAAACGAAGCAAGATACCTGGGAGTCACCCTCGACAGGAGACTGACGTTCAGGTCCCACATACGGCAGAGACTAGGGCTGGCGAGAGCCGCCCGACAAAACCTATACCCAATCATAGGCCGCAGGAGTAACATGGGTATCCATGTGAAACTGCTTCTTATCAAGACCGTACTACTTCCCATCATTCTGTAAGCCTCCACTGCCTGGGGCCAGTGCGCAGCGACATACAGACTTTCATGAACGATTGCTCACGAGCTGCCGTGAACGCCCCAAGATACATGTCAAACAGATACATCTACTAGGTTACTAGGACCTGGACCTCAACATCCACTACATAGACGCTTATGAGAGAGCACGCTGAAAACGTATTTGAAAGAACACAAACACACGCCAGTCCAGCTCTTCGTGACTTGCATGAAGCGCTCAACAGGGACGACCCCAGATTTCGCGAAAGGGATAAACACAAGAGGCCTACGAAGCAGAACCAACGACCACTTCCGAGAATTGCTGTCAGGCGGCTCTGGTAAGTATCAAAATTTATATACAGGTACACATGCACAAACATAGTTCGCGACTGAAAGACACTTGTCTCCGGTAAGGCTAAGTGGACCCTCATGCATACATTACACTCAGTACATTCACGATAAACGAAATTAACATATTACGAAAGTAAAAGCACCTAAAGGCTGACTTTCGAACGCAGGAGGTCAGATGTCAATCTTGCTGAAGTGCCCATCGGTAGGTTGAGGTCCACTCAGGAAAGAGTGGGGGTGGATGGATGGACGAGATTTTAACTTCTGCACAGAATATCCGTGTGGGGAAGATCCTATCTCAGGGCACAGTGTTTGAGTGGTCAGTTACGTTTTAACGCCTGTGGTGTGTACACATACCATACTTTAAAGTTTAAATTTTTTAAAAAGTCAAGTACTGATTCGGCTGTTGAAACTGCTAATTTGAATCCCTAAACTCTACCTAAAAAAACTTTCTATACCCAGCTGCATATTATTATAAAAAAAAAAATGTCGTTCCTTAATGTGACTCTGTACAGTAGCCTTGTCTGGAGATCACGTAAACCTAGAAAGAGATCGTCAAGAACAAGCAATGTCCACCACTCAACCTATTCAACCTGATCCCGTTCCGTCTACCTCTGCCAGTCAATGTGAACCTGAGTACAGTACGAGCAATAAAGAAAATGAACAACCCTAGAAAATGTTCAGCCATACCCAAAGGCAGCTCCAATAAATATAAGTACAACTATTCGAAGAATGAGAAAAGCTGCAATTCTCATGCACATACACCCGAGAAAAACACGTTTCAAGAAGAACAAAATAAATCTAGTAATAAAGTTGAGAAACAAAAGAAGAAAATAAAAAAAAAGAAAGAAGAGTGTTAGTAAAAAAATACTTCAGTCAAGTGATGAAAGTGACAAAGATGAATGTATCTGCCTGGTTTGTAGCGAAGTCTGGTCTGACAGCATACCAGGAAAGAAGTGGATCCAATGCGAAGATTGTAAAGAGTGGGCATATACAAAATGTGTCCAAGTTACTGGCCTTCATTTCATTTGCATCAATTGCAATTCTGATGACGATTATGAATAGTTTTTCTTTATTAAATCTTTATTGAAATTGATGAAGTCTGATTTCAAGTGAAGAGGCTGAATCTATTCCAGAAATTAATCTGTAAATATGTTGCGTTTTGTTGATTCTATTTTTATGCTTACTATCTAGAAGAATATAAGGTTTTGTTTTTTTCCCCACTCAGAAATTAATAAAGTAACAGTTAATTATCAAATACAATTTTTATTTCATGTCTAGAAACCTTAGTTAAACTAGAATCTCTAACTGCTCAATTTGCCCCATACCCTTGCTCAACTTACCTCACCTATGGGGTAAGTTGAGCATACTTGAGTTTCTTCGTTTAAACAGCTGTAACTTTTGAACTTGATTTGTCAGAAATAAATTACTGTGGGCTTTTTTGTAGAAGAATGAATAAGTAATCCATCGGTATGCCACACAAGCTATTGAGACTTATTGTTGAGGAGCTATAATCACTTGAGTAAAAAATTGCTCAACTAGCCCCGCCCTATCCTACCTGTACGACTTTTCAGACAACAAAATGATTTTCCTTATTTTTCATTAGCTAGCGACATTAACAAGAAAAGGTTGAGACAAAGATACGGTTGGTGCTATCCAAAAACAATTTTATTAGGTACCAAGACTATACAGTCAAATGAATTGGAATAATACTGACTAACTGGTGATTTTTTAAGAGGTGTAGGATTTGATTTTCAAAACAACACAAAACATTTTCTCAAAATTTTCCACGTAGTGGAGTACCTAACATAAGCCCAATTGCTGCGAACGGCGGCAAATCGACATTTCACGGTCATCACGAACACTGGCGGATACAGCCGCAATATTTTCTTTGGTCCTCACTCTACGTATGCGTGTTGGTGGTTTAATGTCCAATAATGTAAACTGGGTTCGAAATTTAGTCACGAGCTTCTGAATAGCTTCCTCAGTAGGCCGACGAAACTGCCCATAAATTGGAAGAAGGGCACGATGCACTTTCTTCACCGAGGATGAATTTTGATAATGAAATTAAATAATTTACAAGCGTTGTTCATTCGTAAGTCGATTCATAGTTAAATTATAGACCAAACTGAACAAGTTTGACAATGACACAAGACACAATTCACGCGTGATCTGTCAAAAACAGTGTTGCCAAAAAGATACCAGCAAAAAATCACTCATTACATCAAAATCTCTATAACTAGTATGAGAGCACCCGCATGATTAGGAAATATACTTCTAGTGATATTTTCGGGCAATATTTTAATAACTATACCGCAAACTCTACAGAATGATTATCAGAATTTCAAAATCGCCAAACAAATCTAAAGAAAACTGGAACATAGTCAATGATTTCAATGGAAAGGCAAACAGACTCCCAGTTCAAATAGATGTCAACCCCAATTTTCATAATTATTTTTATCACACCAAAGCACAAAAACTTGTATCCACCAGAGCAATATAAGATTACCCTAAAACAATTATTATACCCAAGAAATTTAAAATAGATCCATAAGTATGTTAGAAACTCAGAAAAAATCACAAGGAATTGACGAACTATCTCTAAAAGTTTTGATAATCTTTCTGGCCATGTTCTAGCATTTTATTAGATTGTTTCGAAAGTTTCGTCAGTTCATGAGTCTACTTCAAGCTGTAATATTTCAGTGAATACTTATTCAGTTTAATCGAAATAAGCACTTTTGCCAACGTAACACAAGTCAATTGATTTCATCAGTATGAAAATTGTGTGCTCGGGCATCGATGAAGTCGATGAAAGCCGTTTTTGCCCGGTTCTGATTGGCGAAGGTTCAACCGGTGAGAAAGTTATCGAAATGCTTGAAAAGATGATAGTCGCTTGGCGAGAGGTCTGGGGAGTATGTTAGGTGAGGCAGTACTTCGACGCTCAGTTCGTTTAATTTACTGTGATTTGCGAAACGTGCGAACGGGCTTTGTCGTGTAGCAGAATTGAACCTCTTTTGTTGACAAGTGCTGGCTGCTGCTGACGCAATTTTCGGTAAATTTCGACGATTTTCTGTCAATTGAACTTAGCTGTGATGGTTTGGCCTGCTTGCCAAAAAGTTAGGGTGAATCACACCAGCCGCTGACCACCATACAGTAACCATGGTATTTTTTTGGTAAGCTTTCGCCTTCAGGAAGTACCTGGGTTGCTCATCGGTGTCCAACCACTGTCCTGAACATCTCCTGTTGTCGTAGAGAATTCGCTTTTCATGACACGTGACAATCCTATCCAAAAAGGATCGTTTTGGTTGCGGTGTGGGGGATCCACCTTTCTATTCTCAACTTCCCAATAGATTTCAAATCATCAAAAACTGCATAGAAGCTGACGCCCAATTTTTCCACCATCCCACGATCAGTTTGTTATGTGTCAATCTCCATCAGAGTCCTCAAATCCACGTCCTGGATTACTCTCTGTAGGTTGGCCATCTTTGAGGCTAAAATTTCGGGAACGAAATTTCGCAAACCAACGTCTTTACAAAAAGTCCTAGAAATTTATAATTTCAATAATTTTGTTATCCAGGCAAATCTTAGGTGAGTCGCAGCGGATAGTAGGTATGCTAGTTTTATTTAAAGTTGAAGGATAACTTATTGCAGTCGCACTATTTTCTGATTTTATTGACGTCGTCTTTGGAGATGGCTTCGTGAAGAGTACGGTTGTGCTTCTTATGCTATAATAAGGTGTTATCGTCAGTAAAAAAAGAATTTGAAGCTTTATATCTTCTATTGAAACAAGTTGAGGGTGATGTCTTCAAAAGGATCTCCCGGTTGACACATTCAAATGCTTTCGATAGATCGCAGAAAATAGCAGTGAACGATTCTTTAGCATTATATTCGGAATATACAATTTCTTATAGAGAAAACATAGAATTACTAGTTTCCTTATTGTTTGGAATTTGAACTGGCAATAAGTAAGTATAGTATTACACTTTTGACACGGTTTTCTATAATTTCAGTAAGGGTATGAATAATTTATATAGGCCTGTAATCAGAATTAGGCCCACTTTCATGAAGAGGGATTATGAGAGAAGTTGAGGCTCTGACTATTTGGGTATGCGAAAGCTCTGTTCAAAGTGAGTGCAGCTCACAATCAACCGAAAACAACGAATTGATGATGATGAGCAGTGTCTGAAACTGTTCCATCCGAATTTATGAGTCTATATGTGGTAATGGATGAAATATTTCACACCTGAATCAAAATGATCGTCATCTGAGTGGACTGCCCGTGGTGAACCAGTATTTTTTTTTCAATTTGTGGAACTAACAAAAATGTATATGAAACAAGAGGAACAGGTACACGATTTGAATGCATTATATAAATATATTGACAGCCCCCTTCCTACACCAGGACAAAAATATTCTATCCCGACGCACGTTTCCTCAACTTCCACTTATAATTCCTTACAATGAGTTAACCTCTCAAAAGCGATCTTACGCGGCGTATGGTTTATACATAATCTCTTAAAAGAGTTCGGTGAAATGCTTTGTTTGTTGATAGTAGGTATGTGGTTTTTATGTCGTTTTTTCGATCCACACATATCAATAATTAAAATAGTTTTTGCGGAGGAAACAACTTATATAAAAATGAAAATTTCTTTTCAAATTCATTAAATATCTTTTCGACTATACATTTTTGTTTCTTGCACACATTTCCTTTTCTATTTCTTTTTTTACTTCCCTCGTGACAAATAAAACAACTGGTATTGTTACACAGAATTGACAAACATTTTTGCATACATATTTTTGACGGATTATTGAAATGAAAATAGGTGGTTATCAAAAGTAGGTAATCAAGGATGATAGATAAAGAAATTGTATACAATGAAGGCTCTTGATTCTAGAATGTGTTGAAATAAAACGTAAAGTTGGGAAAGAAAGTTTTGGGCTTTCTACTTCTACATCTTTATACAAAAATGTAGGAGTCTTCCAAAGAAAAGAAGAAAGCAATGAATTTCAAAATATCAACTCTATACAAAGAAGTGTAGATCATGCAAAGAAGTAACTCTTAGACACAAAGGAAAAGCTCTATCGAAACAGCTAGTTTCATATAAACATTGAATTGAACGAAAGAAAAATATTTTCGAAACAAATACATACATATGAATACTGAATTCTACGAAAAACACTTCCCCACTTAGTTTGTATTCCAATCATTTCTTATGGAATTGAAACATATATCATTCACAGGATTCCTACACAATATACTAAAGGAAAGGTAAAAACACTGTCATCCTCACTGGTAGCGTAGTATTGAATATTGTCAACACAATACGATAATAAAAACAATAATTCAATTTTTTTTCCTTTTTTCATACAATTAACACTCTTTAGCTGTGAATTGGGTCAGTTGTAGTTCGTCCAACTCACGATCGAAAGGTCGTGAGTTCGATCCCAACTTCGACCAGATATTTTTCCCAGGAAAATGTATCTAGTTGAAGTTGGGATGATTTTACAACGTTACATGGCTGACGGACTGCGAATAGCCACGGTGCTCCTTAGGTGGCTCGGGAAGTCATTAACATTGCCTACCCAAAACACGAGGCTAATGACCAAGTAGCCTATGCCGTCAACCCCCAAAAAAACTCTTACTTTCAACCACTATTTTTTCCCAAACAGCAATGACGACAAAACCACCAAGAAACTAGCAGCAAGTCCGATGTTGAAATAAAGGAAAACAAAAAAAAACCGATATGTCCGAGAGTGACGATGAATCCACCAGTGGGGCCGACTGGCCTGTCACCGAGGAGTGGCTACAAGTCGTCCTGAAGGAACATCACAAAGAATTACCAGATGCTTCGATGATCACTGTTTTGGATTTCAGCGTGAGACCTGGCTGCGAAACCGGAGAAAGTGTCCTTAGCGATATTCTGGCGGTGGCTGTCAAATACAGTTTAAGGTATGTATTGAATACATGTATGATGTAGGTATCACGCAGAACCTTCCAAGGGTTTTTTTTGCAAAACTTACCAGAAGTTTTTTCAACAATAAGTTTCAAAGTTAAAGAATAAACACCATATCGTGATTGATCTCAACAATGTTGAACATTTAGATTTGCATTTACAAACCCCAAAAAAACAATTCTTTTCGAAACCATGGAAAATATTCTGAGTAACCAAGTGGAAGGATAGAAGTAAAGTAAAGACAAACCCAGAAATGTGACGATGATACGAGTTAGACAAGTCAAAAAAATCACTATTGAACATAGGTATGTACATACATAGGTGTATACGTATATTTTAAAAAAATTGAAATTTGGGATAACGAAATTAATGCATGAATACTTTATTTTTGAAGTGAAATTGACAGATGAAACTTTCGAGATGCAAACTGGGCGCCATCTGGGAAAAAAATTAAATGTAAAGGGGGGTCTTGTGACACATTTTTTTGAAGTCCTGACGCTTCACAACTCTTGAATATAATGCCAATATCTTCAACTACTACAAAATGGCTGAACTTTTAATAATTGCCTAAATACATTGACGTTTAACTACATAATATATGAGGTAATAAGCTTGAGGTCAGTTCAGAAGATGCTCGAAATGGTTGCTTTGAACTTCCTGACATATGAAAAGTCTATCCGATATTTCACGCCGAACATTTTCGAACACAGTAACATCAATATCTCTACAAATATTTATTATTCTCTGCCGTATATCCAATATAGAAGCATGTTCCGTTTCGTACATCTTTTGCTTCAAATATCCCCATAAAAAAAGTCCAAAGCTGTCAAATCTGGCGAGCGGGCTGGCCATTCTGTAGGACCTCGACGGCTAATCCATCGACCGTGAAAAGTAGTATCCAAATAGTTTCTTACTTGTCTGGAGTAATGTGGTGGTGCTCCATCTTGTTGTCATACAATATCCATATCGAATTCATTAGGATTCGCTTCGATGATTTCAGTGAAGAGAGGGTCAACAGTAGTTTCCAGCATATTCAAATACAGTTCCCCTGTTGAATTTTGATCAATAAATAGAGATCCTACAATATGGTTTCCCAATATTCCTGCCCAAATGTTAATTTTTTTCTGGATATTGGGTATGTGTTTCCTGGAAAACATGAGGATTGGTGTCACACCAAACCTTATCAAGTTGTTGGAATTGCCATACGGCAGATAAAAAGGAATATTTCTAGAAATGTCGATATTAATGTGTTTGTCTTGAGAAAATTATTAAATGTTTCGCCATTTTGTAGTAGGCGAGGATATTGACTTCATATTCTAGGGTTGTGAAGTATTCATCAGGAGCTTCAAAATGATGTGTCATAAGACCCCCACTTTCCTTTCAGTTTTTTTCCAGATGGCGCCCAGTCGCCATCTTGAAAGTTTCATTTGTCAATTTCACTTCAAAATAAAGTATTCATGCATTAATTTCATTATCCCAAATGTCAATTTTTTGAGTTGACCCGTTGAAAACATAAAAAGGGGGGACATTAAAGAAATGCACTGTATATTGAACTCTACTGAGATTTTGCTTCACCTACGCTCTTGAATCTGTAGAGCACTAACTGGTTCAACCTCCCAAAATGAACCTCATATTTGAATCTCAATATTTGTTTCGTATTTTTCTGGTACTTTGTTCAACAATTAATAAATAATTGCTAAACAAATCATGAGTACTTGGCTGAAAACATGTTGTTGAGGATTTGGATTGATACTCAGTAAACTGCTGCCAAATGCCTGAAAAAAATTAAAACGGTTTGGAGCGTTACATCAAATTTAGTGACTTAACACTCTTTCTGACATTTTTACAGTTGTGATTACCGAATTAACCTTCATTATTCAAGTAACACTTAATTGTGAGATATTTACTGAACTATAAAAACGCTTGACGAAGCTATTGCATAGCGAAACACGTGTTGTGGTTAAGTAAAAATATCACAATAAAGAATCATTTGAATACGTTGTGATTTTCATCAAGTATCGGCCAATTCATTCACATAACTTTTCCCAAAAAAAATTTTTTTGAAAGTTCTATTTTGTATTGACATTTATACAATTTTATTCTTTTGATTTTCAATATTTGAACTAACATGTACGAGATCTGTTAAAAAAATAAGGTGAATTTTCATATTTCTCTTTTTTATTTATTCACCAATTTCCTTTTGTACCTTTCAAACTAGTCCCTCTCAGATTTATACACTTGTGCCAGTGTTATCTCCAACCCTCTAAGCAGTTCTGATATGCACTTTTTGGTATGTCCTTGATGTCTTTCAGCGATTTGGTTTTTATCTCCCCAATCGACGCAAAACACCGTCTTTTCATGGGTCTCTTCATTCTTGGGAACAGGAAAAAGGCGCAGGGGGGCCAAATCTGGTGAATACGGTGAATGAGGCATGATTATAAGGTTGTTTTTTTGGCCAAAAACTTACGAACAAGCAATGACGAGTGAGCAGGTGCCTTATCCCGATGCACAAGCCATGAACTGCTTTTCCACAATACCGAAAGTTTTCTTCATATTGCACAAACGGCGCATAACTTCAAGATAATACTCCATATTGACCGTAAGCAAGCAATGTAGCAAGCACTCCCGATGCTCTACCCCACAGTGATAGAAGAAACCAGTGACCAAAACCTTGAAATTTGATCGAGCTTGGCGTACTTTTTTGGTCTTGGATCTCCTGGGCTCTTCCATTGGGACGATTGGACTTTGGTTTCGATGTCATAACCATATAGGTACTCATGATTCGTCACCAGTTATGGCCCTTTTAAGTAAATCTGGATAGCCGATGTCATTCAACAATTCTTGAGCGATGCTCCTGCGACGGTTTTTTGGTCAAAATTCAACAATTTTGGAACGAACTTCGTTGCCACACGTTTCATGCTAAAAAGTTCCGAGAAAATTGCATTGCATAAGCCAACCGATATGCCGACATCCTCGACAACCTTTCTAATAGTGATTCAACGATCCTCCAAAACAATGTTCTTCACTTTCTCAACATTTTCATCGGTTGTTGATTTGATGGAGCGTCCATGGCGAGCGTCGTCATTCACATCTTCTCGACCTTCTTTGAAAAGCTTGTACCACTAGTAAACATTTTTCTGATTCAGAGTATGAGATATCACCGTATGCCACTGTAAACATTTCAAGTGTTTTTGAGCACTCAATTCCATTTTTTACACAAAATTTGATGCAAATTCTTTGAACCATTTTTTATTCGAAAGCAGAAAATCACCGAACAGGCAAAACACTACTAACTTTTTTGACTCTCACCAATAAACTAAACATGCTAACAGCCGAAACTGTGAACATATGCTTGAGACGGGTGTACCAACATAAAAACATAAAAAAATCGCTAATCAAACATTTACCCCATTTCTTGAACAGAGATCCTATGTATTTGTAAACAAAAAGTTAATTCTTGTTAAAGGCAATAAACATTCACAGTCTCGTCTAGTCGCTTTTAGAAAAATACAGAATACAAATAACTTCTATCGTATTTCAGAGAAGAACCAGCCGGATCATCGCACAGCCTGAGTTTCATAATAAAGTTGCTCCCGCAAGACCCATTCAGCAGATTTTTCGTGACTGAAGCCCAGTTCGATCTGAGGGAGATAAAGTTTTACACGCAAGTAAGTAATTCTCCTCCGTTTCTACTTTACAACTTCGCGCCGCGTCTAATTTAATTCGACAGCAATTTGTTTTGAGTCTCGGAGCTACGCAATCGGAAAATATAACATGAAATATATTTCCAAAGAGATTAGGATGATGAAAGATTCTCGTTCGCGGAGTTGACAATTGACATTTCGAAATGAATAAGGGGCAAATCTGACTTTATTAATTGTTCGATTATGATAAATAATAACAAGTGAAATAATAGCATTCGGTATAAGCATAAAAATAAATGAGGATGATTGACATGATGAAAATGCCACGCTCATGTCTGCAGACAGCAGAAGAAAGTCATTTACTTGGACCAAGTTCTAACAAGGATATACTCTCATTACGAAGTACATTCATTTCATCCTTCATAAATTATAAACATGTCAATAGTTTTTTATTGGAAATATCACTGGCATGACTTATGCATTGTTAAATAGATATATATTCTTTTATATCAAAATAATACCGCCTCGCCCGTGGGTTGGGCTAACTATCGGGCGTGTCTCCAGGTGGCGGATAGAGGAACGGCCATGGGACTGGAGGCCCTGTCCGGAAAGCCAATGTGGCCTTACAGACGGGGTGAGAAGAACTAAAACCCCCAAAGGCCTTTGCAAAACATGCCACCATGGACCAGCCTACCCAAGTTAAGGTTTAAGGAATGGTGCGGCCAGCTGTGCCTGGCTACCTCTGGTAATGCGGGGCTCTGCCAGAGGTGACCAACTCTTCCCTTGCTACTCGTGGATACACACATGAGAAAAACAACACAAAAACAGAAACAACAAAAACAAAAACCAAACCCGAGGCTGAGCAGAAGTGCTCACCTCAATAGCAGATCACCTCCAACAGCCAAGGTCCTTTCCTGCGGTGGTCGCCAAGAGCTCCGTCTTGAACGAAGGCAAGGAACCGGCTGCCCCTGCAGGAAAGCTCCCTCACTTGTGCACCTCCACGGACGGAACCCCAAGAAGGTTGAAAAAGCCACGCAACGACAGTAATATCGCTGCAGCTTCCAAAACCTTGGCGGAGACCACCGTGATACACCTCAAGGTTGCCAAAGAGAGTGTGTGTTCAGCGAGTCTTGGCCTATACCTGCCAATAAAAAGGAGATGTCTCCTACAAAATAATACCGCCTCGCCCGTGGGTTGGGCTAACTATCGGGCGTGTCTCCAGGTGACGGATAGAGGAACGGCCATGGGACTGGAGGCCCTGCCCGGGAAGCCAATGTGGCCTTACGGACGGGGTGAGGGGAACTAAAACCCCCAAAGGCCTTTGCAAAACATACCACCGTGGACCAGCCTACCCAAGTTAAGGTTTAAGGAATAGTGCGGCCAGCTGAATGGCCGCAAGGTGATATGCGGTCACGAACGATCCCATTGGGGAACTGGGCGAAACCTCATTATAATCTGCCTACCTCTGGTAATGCGGGGCTCTGCCAGAGGTGACCAACTCTTCCCTTGCTACTAATGGGAACTCACATGAATGAAACAAACACAAAAACAGAAACAACAAAAACAAAAACCAATCCCGAGGCTGAGCAGAAGTGCTCACCTCAATCTAAGGCGGTGCCTAGGGATGAACAGAAATTTCCACCCCAATCTACCGCTTGGAATGAGGCTGGACATAGCAGCATAGCCGCAGCAAGGTCCCTTCCTGCGGCGGTCGCCAAGAGCTCCGTTTTGAATGAAGTCAAGGAACCGGCTGCCCCTGCAGGAAAGATCCCTCACTTGTGCACCTCCACGGAGGGAACCCCAAGAAGGTTGAAAAAGCCACGCAACGGCAGTAATATCGCTGCAGCTTCCAAAACCTTCGCGGAGACCACCGTGATACACCTCAAGGTTGCCAAAGAGAGTGTGTGTTCAGCGAGTCTTGGCCTATACCTGCCAATAAAAAGGAGATGTCTCCTAGTGACCTGTTCACCTTCCTGGAAATGACAGGATGGACGATGACCTAGGAGGACAACTCCTCGGGAATGCTGTGAGTCTACACTCACCCTCCCTACTCTACAGATACCAGATACAGAATACCACTCTGAATGAATAATGAAGCCACAGTTCACAAACTCTACGACGGACATTATAATGAATGAATGAAATAAATTTCTGACTGTATTCAGAGCAATTATCCGCATAATTTCTGACATTGCATTCAATGCGAACTTTTTAAATGATCCTACATACTTATTAATACGAAATTCATTTATTGATTTACCTTAAAATGAACTATCTCTAAAATGTCCCGAGTTTTGCATCTGTGCTCTTCTAAAAAATATCATCCGCAGATGTGCTCCTCTAAAAGAACGCATCCACATCTAAATCCGCGGATGTCAAGATGTTTGCATCCATAATAACAGTGATTCAAAGCAAACTTTTGTTTTTCTGGTTTTCATTAGATTAACCAACCTCAACAAATTTACTTTGATATAAGTAATAACTGAATGAAATTAAATCGAACCAATCATTTGTTGTTTCAGGTGGTCCCAGATTTGGAATCTTTCAGGCAAAATATCGGCGATGACTTAGACTTACGGCTACCCATCCCGAAATGTTATTACGCACATTATACAGCAGGTAAAACTCTTGATAATATTTTTTACTTCAATGTATCATTGGTCTTATTGTTAAACGACAAAACTGACAGATTTTACAATGTTCATAATTGAAAGTAGTTGTTCCGGAAGAACTTTGTCTTCAAGTTCTGAAAAAACTCTGCTAAAACATCTACATGTCTGTGAAGATTTCCACTTTGTATGAAGGAGTAAAAAGCTATTGGAAAGTTTTATTTGATCACTCTTTTCAGCTGATTCATTAGTTGAGTAAGTATACATGTAGAGATTTAATTTGTCTTATTCAGTAATAAAAGTCGTTCTGGTTTGTTGAACAATTCACTTTACAATTATGATTTATACATACGAATTGACAGGTTGATTGAGAATTCGTTCAATAAATCATTGCCAAGTTGCAGGCGAACTATTTAATCCAAATCGCATTCTATCAAAATGATAAATATAACTTGATAGCTACAAAATGTTGAGCATTTAGCAATACATTTATTTAACTTCACGCTGCTACACAAATATAGCAAACGCATTTCTTTTTTCTAGGAACCAATGAGCCAGAGCCGACGCCGCCCGAATCCGTCCTAGTTCTCGAAAACATCAAACCGATAGGCTTCAACAGTGCAGACTTCTCTCGTGGCCTCACCCTCCGTCAAACCAAATCCGCCGTCGAAGCCGTTGCGAAGGTGCATTCGCTTTCGCTCTGTCTCAAGATCAAAGAAGGCAAAAGCCTATCGGACCGTTACCCCTTCCTGTTTCAAACTATGCGAGCCTCGGACAGCTATCAGCAATTAGTCGAGCGAGGCCTGCCGCAGCTGTCACAGTTTCTGGAAAGACGTTCAGGTCTGGACAGCGTGCTGGCCGCTCTGAATGATCTCAGACCGCACACCAAGAACATCATCGAGAATCTCCTCGCGCCCGAAGAACCGATGGCTCTCATCACTCACACCGATTTCTGGTGCAACAATTTGATGTTCAAAGAGGACGAGAAAGAGTGTCTTTGCGACATACTGGACTGGCAAATGGTGACTTACAGCCGACCGACGAACGATCTAGCTCTGTTGCTCAACAGCAGCATATCGGCGGAGTTGAGGAGGTTGCATACGGACGAGATTTTGGACGAGTACTGGGATTCGCTGACGTCCAGTTGTCGGAAGATGAAAGTGGATGTCGAAGCAGAATTAGGATATGACAGAAAGAAGCTAGGGGAGGATTTCAAAAGGTCGCAGTTGCTAGCGCTTCTACTCTGTATTGGGTCAGTCGATCTGGCCATTGGAAACGTCCAGATGGAAGACAGACTGTTGGAGTTGCTTCAAGATTTACACGCTGACGGCCTGCTGTGTGCCGATTTGGCGACAAAAGCTCAAAATTAAGTGTGATTTCAAGTGATATTTGCTCTTAGGATATAAGTATATGTACTGAAATTAGTCGAATGCTTTCTGGAGTTGAGAGAATGCGGACGACTGAATTCTACTGCTTCGAATGTATACCGTAACGTAATGTTTTGAAAGTGTCACAAACTTTGCACAATTCACTTTGATTATGACTAAGATCATCTATAGTAGTGTTTCGCGATTACAAATTGTAAAAGCGACATGATTGCTTTAGAGTTTTATAAAAATATGTTATATTATACATTCTTTGCAACAAGAAATAATTAACTTTAGGAGTCAAGCCGTCAAATCGGAAAAATGCAGGTACAGAAAGTGTATTTATTATAATATATCGAATGAATCTGCACAATCATAACAAAATAGCCTCTCATTGAAACTAGATTTCAACCTATCACAAAGTCAAACGTGCATTTTTCTTTGCAGGTTATTTAGAGAACCTCACTATATCAGATACAAAAAAACATAGAGGTTATTTCGCTTATACAAACTATTTTTGTGGCATATTTTGAAATGAGTTCCGTGTCAGTTTTTTCTGTAAACTATTTTAAGTAGACTAGAACACTTTTAACAGTTAGAGTTGAAGTTTGGGTGTTATTTCTGCTGATAAATTGATACATATTCAATAAAACCAAGTTTCTACGAAATTTCTTTCATTCAACAGTTCGAATGTATTCAAGGTTTATAAAGAACTTTTTGATGTATGGCTTATAGTTCCCATATTTGATTCGCTGATTTTCAACCATACCTAAAATTTAGTGAAAATACTGAAGATAATAAAATATAATGGCTTTCAAATGTCCACGATATGGAATAGTCAAAAGTATTAATTTCTTTTGAATTCCTTCATACTACGTATGCAATAATATCGATATTAAAAAACATTGAATATGAATTATTATAGTAAAAGCGTCAAAACAACTGACCAGTGATTGGTTCTTAATGGTCGAATGTCTAAATAGACTACAGTCTACTTATAAACCTGGAAAAAAAAAGGATGAGTGCCCGGTTCTTTGTCGCCCCTGCCATACTGGCAAATCAACTACTGCCGAACATAGAATCAAGGAAGGAAATAATTTCATCTCGTTCGAAGAAACACAAGAACTTGATAGAATTCTGACGGCGATAGAAATTCACAAAAAAATAAAAATTTCAATCGGAAGGACCGCGGAAATAACATAAATGAAGTTTCGCTACCTGCACTAAATTGTATGCGAATCAAGCCATTTAATTCAATCAAACATTAAAGTATATTTGTGTGGACAGAATATATTGTAACGAATCTGAAGCCGCCCCTGACCGATATGTCGGCCAGCGAACTAACACACGACATCACCGCAAAACGAATGCAGTCGGCAACCGCCGATTAAACTCTAATTGAGTACCAAAACGAATATAGAATTCTAGAACGATCGTAACCGATATATAAGGCTGGCTTCTCGTCCCGAGAGGGCAGTTGAGTTCAGAAAGTGAATCGAGCGGTTAAACAAGGAATTCAAATATTGGAAATACATTGAGCGTAAAGTGCTAAGTGTTGTAAATAAATTAGTTTGTGATAGTGAAATATTGTTAGAAATAAATTTGTTTAAGACAGTTAATTCTTTAATTGGTTACAATATCATCAGGTTGTTTGAAAATTTTGTTGTTCGTTTAAATGTCATATGTTTTTGTAGCTCCACATCAATAAATATTTATTTTACTGGGTCGTGCGCAGCCGAAACAGCCTAAAAAATCAACCGGGCATTTGGCAATGATAGTGTTAATGAAGGCAATGTTTGACGTTCGTTTGCGAAATTTTGTTCCGGAGATTTCAACGTCGAAAATGAGCCCCGAAGTGGTCGACCTACAGTGATCCAGGACGAGGATTTGAGGACCCGGTGGAGACTGACCCATCACAAACGGTGCGTGGGATGGCGGAAAAACTGGACGTCAGCTCCCATGCGAATTGTGATGAGTCAAAACATATTGGTAAAGTCAAAAAGCTCGAGAAGTGAGAGCCCCACCATTTGAACGATCGACAGAAATAGTCACGTTAAGAGGTCTATTCTTTGCTTTTGCGCAAGCAAAACGATCTTTTTTTGGATCGTATCGACACGTGTGAAGAAAAGTGGAGCTGGAGACATTCAGGACAGTGGTTGGACACCGATGTGCCACCTGGGCACTTCCCAAAGGCGAAAACTTACCATAAACGATGTATAGTGGTCAGCGGCTGGTGTGCTTCATAATAACTTTCTGCACCAAAAATTACATCAGTAGCAACCATCACAACACAACAGAAAAGATTTGACCCTGCTCCACGACAACGCCCGTCAGCACGTTTCACAAATTACTGCCCGTTATTAAACGAAATGAGCGTCGAAGTACTGCCTCATCCTCCATACTCTCCAGACCTCTCGCCAACCCACTACCAGGTTCAGCTTCCAAGCAGAGCACATAACTATGGCAAGTGGGATCTTGCCGAAAGGTCGTGATAAAGTCGAAGAACGTATGTACTCCCGGAATGACATTTCCTGAAGTATTAAAATGTTCCTGTAAGAGACAAGTATTCGTCGTGTGCGTCGTTTGAATTCGCTACTATGTGATTAATTAAATGAATATTCATATACCATCTTTTTCCTATTCTGTAATTTGAGTACTATGTAGAATAGTAATTTGAATAAATAAATGAACAGAATAAGGAGGCGCAAGACTCAAAGGGACTGCATTGTAACCTTCAATTTGAATAATTTGAGCGAACGACGCTAACTCTTATCAATTCTAAAGCGAATTGCGGGCTCTCCTATCGAATCCATACAAAAATAAGTAACGTAACTTCCCTGTCCTAACTCTTGGCCGTAAACCGAAGTGAGAAAGAGAAAAAAAGAAATACTGCTCTTGGTTGGAGCATTTATTTTGCTCCCCTCGCAGCATCCATTGATTCTAGCTACGTGACCCGTCTCAGGAAAGAAAGGCTTAACTTTTTATGCGAACGTCCCGACGCTCCGCTTTCGAGAACTTTATCGCCAGTCATTTCCTACTAGGACTCGGGAGGTAACGGGAACAAGAATGGAAACGAAAAAAAATATCCAGGGAAAAAAAACAGTGGGGAAAAGCATTTTTAAAGGAAAAGGAATTTGAATTTGTAAAAAGTTCCAACAGTTGACATATACAGGGTGGTCGAATACGAAACGAGAGTTAGGAATCATTTAATACCTTGTTTCATTTCGCTAACGTTTCTTTTTACTTTTTGAAATTTGAGGCTGTAAAAAAACAACGTTACAAAAAATATGCAAAAATTTGAAGACTAATTGTCAATGCGAAGTTAACACATTATTTATTGAAAATTGCTTGCAGTGAAGAACTTTGAACTCGAAGCTTGTAATAAAAAAAATTCAAGCAGTTTTTTGCTATCTTCCATTGAAAGTAAAAGTAATGGATTGTAAATATTCATATTGAACAAGATTTTGCACCCGTTATTCATCAGTATCTTACCTGGTAGGTGGAATGACCGACAAAGTTACCCGATTTAGGTTCGTTAGACTTTTTGTGGTATCAATTGAAGATTATAATTTATAAAACTCAGTCAACATCATTAGATGATTCAAGCATTATTGCACAGAACACCATAAATGCCTTTGAACGTCCAGAACCGCTCTGAACGAAACCTCTATTACTGTACGGAAGCAGGAGGATTTTACTTCTGATACTCGTTGAAATGAAATTTTTATAATCGAGATTTTTATTGTTATTAGTTATTTCAAAAGTTTTATCCAATTTTATCCAATGAGTTTACTTCAATCTGTAATAGATCAATGAATACTTATTCAATATAGGCGCCATATGAATCATTGCACTTTTGCCAACGTAGCACAAGTCGATTATTTCGGTCAGCACTAAAAAGTGTGTGCATGGGATTCGATGAAGTCTACAAAAGCCGTTTTCGCCTGGTCCAGATTGGTGAAAGTTCTACCGGTGAGAAAGTTATCGAAGTGCTTGGCAAAAGGACTGAGAAGTACGGTGGGTGAGGCAGAACTCCAACGCTCAATTCGTTTAATTTTCTGACGGTGATTTGTGAATCGTGTATATTCTAAGGTCAAAACCTTGAAAATTTGCTTGAAAATATGTTTCTTTTTTCGGTTAAGATTCATTTCTTGATGCTTGATTCCCTTTCTTGATGCTTATTTACGCTATACAAAGAACCTACCTGCATATTTCAAGAGGTTCAGTAGCTACGGCTGTACGTTATCTATATTAAATACTTAAAATGAAAATTGGATCAATTTTTATAAGAATTTGACATACAATGCATTTCTTTAATGACCCTCCCTCTCATTTCATTTTTTGAACGGGTCAACTCAAAAAATTGAAATTTGGGATAATAAAATTAATGAATGTATTATGAAAATGACACTCTAGGTATGGGTTTCAGATGCTAGGATAACTGAGTTTCACGAAACCCAAATATCACATTACAATACAGGCTTTCATGGCCACAGTCACAATTGGAGAAAAAAAATCAGGACTGGTAGGCCGTATTCGAATGTAGTATCAAACGTTTCGTCTGCTACTGGGGCAGACACCATCAGTGGTATGGCGTTGATTGCGTTGCAGAAACGAAGTCTCAGCAACGACAGTCTGTCGCTGCTGGGACTTTAAGATAATAGTCATCACACCTTCCACTGAAGATGTATGTCGCAGTAGCAGACGAAATGTTTGGTTCTATAAGTTCCATTCGATTTTGTTTTCCCTAATCTAGTGACAAATATAGATGATTCGGTTTATTTTATAGTCAGGTGGTTGAGATTATGATGCGAAATGAGCCAGAATTTTAAAGAGTATTCTACATTCAGCTCTTTAACCGATTAAATTTGGTGCACTTGGGATGTAACCCTCAACAAAACGAACTAGAACCGCCCCCCATAACGCTTCTTCATTTTTCATCTAACTAATCCAGAAGACATCGCTTAATCCTGCCCAAGTCGCAGAAAGGAAACAAACCAAATTCTCGCGACCCCGATGAGCGCCAGCCGGAAAGCGGCGGCAGTAGAACTCTAGGGAAAATCCCCGCCGCCGTCGATACTATCACGCGACGGCCGTTATTGATCCTGCTGCCCCAACCTGGTGCGCGGCAGGTAAAAGGATGCGGTGCGCACAGGTGTAATTTGGTATAACAAAATTGATACAAAGAGCGATTTCGACAAAGTATGCAAATAGAATCTGATCGTTTGATTCCTAAGTTCTCTGCTCTTCGACTGATATTCGAATTAATAAAAAAGTCGGAAAGAGGGATGGTGTAGTATTATCCAATAGGTATTTCAAGTCCGTAACAGTACTTCAATGTTTTGTCTTCTCAAAAAGATACTCTGGAGTGACTTAAAAATTATTTAAAGAACCTAAGCGCCAAAGAGATTTGTGAAGTTCCAAATTTCGTAACTCAAAAAATCATTATTATTTTCCAAAAGGTTTTTTTCAAGCTCCGACATATTTAGAGAGCGTTCTAGCGCTGTCCCACAAAGAGATGTAAGCGATCATTGGGTACGAAAATCATGTGCCGTGAGTAGTTGCGATGATCCATTCTGTATTACTTCGGCAGATTCCTGCCGAATTGAGAGATGCCGGTATAATCCTGAAGTCAGAGAGTATGGAAGGTATTATTCCAGCAAGGACTCCAATGAGACTTCATAAGGGGGAATAAATAAACCCAAAAATAACATAAAGACTGAGCTGATAATGCCTAGAAAAATATGTTAAACCGGAACGAATTTACTCTATACTGGCTGCCTTGACACTCAGGAACCATAGGAAACAAAAAAATTGATGAGTGTGGTAGATATGGGCCAATAAGAAGCATAAAGAGTACCAGGAAATTCACCTGGGAACACACATGGTAGAACCTCTATAAAGAAGGTTTGAAAGAATTTATTGAACTGCTTCAAAACATCAGAGAACTACTCAGAACAATTATGGGACTACACTCGGGACATTGCCATTATCCTGAATAATGGATATCTTAGCTGCAAGCAATACAACAAAAGAACAGAGTCACTCCGTTGTATTCTATACAAATGTTGAGCTGGAAGGAAAGACGCAATAAACCCATGAAGAAATTTGAAAGAAATGGACAAGTAAAAAAAAACAGGGTGATCTGAGTAGAGTCTACAAAGTACGATGAATGTCCTTAGGTGCTTGGAGGCAGACCCTGGTAACAGGAACCTCTATACCCTACACGCGACTAAGGCAAACACAAAGGCGTTGAAAATATCATTCTGAAAGGTCAAAATATTTTCTTCGGTTTCTAACTGTAACACACACGACCTGATGAAAGTAAAGATTAGATAATTCAATTAACTAAGGCCTGTTGAAGAAAATACAATCCCAACAAAGATCACTCTAATATTTTGATGTGGGGTATTCAATTCAGAGACCGCCCAAAGAGCTATCTTGAAAAAATCCTAATGCTTCTCTCTCATGAATGTGGATCAGTCAAAGGAGAAGTTTAATGCAGTACCGTTCTGTTATGTAGACACTTCAAACTAAAAACACCACGACTTCTTTGTTGTCACATAAAGTATAACTATGGAAGGGACAGTTTGGGATGCAAATTCCTATATGATTTTTCGGATATTCAAGTCGAGTTGTTACAGCCCCTCTTCAATCCATTTCACTAATTCAGAGGAGTCTGGTATTAGATCACAAATGCTGTGTTTTGGAACCCTGGTTTGATATATGGCCCTCATTATGGAAGTGAATATAAATTGGTGTAGTTCAGTTCAGTACAGACTCATTTTTATTCAGATATGATAACGCTAACTTACAATAAGTTATGACATTTACTAATATAGTATCTGCGTTTTCCTATAGTATATTTTTTACATTCACTACTAATCTTGAAGAAATAGAATCATAATCCGAGAGTGAGTGCATTCAATGATAATTGTAACTTCTGCCATCTTTTAACAAAACCCCTGAGGATCGGTTTATGTCAATCGATTTCCTAAATCCTGAACGAGTGTACTACTACAGATCATGACCTGAGGGAGTAAAAATACGTCGATGAAGGTATCTTCCGTAACTATAATACGCACGCGCAGAAAATAAAATACTCGCAAAACAACCTACCGCCAATCGATATTAACTTCTTGGAGGGTGAGAAACACGACCAGTGGGGGCGCTATAGTGTGTAGGAAAATGGCCGCAAATAAAAGTAATCATTTGATTTGTTTGAACGTGGTTGAAGACGTTACTTGTTTTACGTTGAAATCTCAGACTCCAATTGTCTGAAATAACAAATTGAGAACCGAAAAATATTGAATTGAATGAAGTAAAAAAGCTTAGATACGTTAAAAAACAAAGTGAGGCGGTATCAACATATTTAACTTATTTTGGTAATCTTAGGTCCCAAATTTGTTAATATTTATTCAAACGTTTGAAACATAAATTAACGGAATTTTTCAATAGGTTGAGAACACTACTAATAGACTACTTCCTTTCTGATCCGTCAAGAAAACCCGACGCTTATGCAAAATCAAGCGCTGATCAAGAGATGGCGTTCAGGTTTCATCCGATTTGAGACAAGACGATAAAAATAATTTAAATTAGGTGAATAATTGAAAATATCTTTAAAAAATTTGAGAATCTACTAATAATGGTAAATAAAATTAGTGGGTATCCCATTTCGGAATTCCGCCGATCGGTAGCAAGTTCCAGGCTATTTTTGCATATGACACTAGAATAAAAAAGATTTTTCTAGTCGCCTATAAAATAGAAATCTATCTAATAAAAATGATATAGACGATAGGGAGTAAAATTGATTGTGGTCAAAATAATTAAAATCAATTAGCAACGGGGCAGTTGTTACGACGGGACTCATAACAACTTTCTTCACAGTTTATCTGCGTTGAAAAATGAAATGTAAACATTTCGTGTTTCTGTTATATATGGTGCTGACCTCCCTTGTTCGAATATGAAACCAATTTTTCTAAAAAAAAAATGTAAATCGAAAATTTCGAAAAAGTATTTTTCATTCAAAAACGAGACATTCGAAAACTAGAACCAGACACAAAAGAAACCCGAAATATTCAGTCGTTGTTTTCGAATACAGATAAACTATAGAAAACGTTAATGCATTACAATCACAACAAACGAAATATAGAATTTGAAGTTATTAATGATTTTACTTTCTTATCAACGGATAATACAGTTTTGATTAAAGACTCATTTATTATTATGGCTTTCAATGGTATATTATTCAAAGAGAGAGAATCTTGCCGAAGGCGAGTGTCGCAAATCATTCGAACGAGTAATTGCTAATGAAAAGAGAAATGTTTTTGAAAATGTAATATTGTATTCGTTTGAAAATGTCCATATAGGACGAAACTGCAGTAATGTTAGTTACAAATAAAAGTGGTAAAAAACATAGAAATTTCCATTTCTCTTTTCATTATGATCTCCTACCACGTAGTAGCGGCTACATCCATCAATTTATTGAGTAATTACTATTTCTCGCGAGTAGAATACTATACTTTTTCCATAACATCGGGGATGTTATTGAGTTTCCAACCACTCTCATATCGTTATCAAGTGACGAACTTGTGAAAAATATCAATTTCTTTCCAATATTACAAACATTTGGTGAAGTACAATTGTTCTACTTTCTGATTGCAAGTCACAATGAAGGTGAATACATCTCCACAGCAAATATATCCTTTTACCTTTTTCATTACTGTGTTGACAAAAAAAATAGTTCAGATAAATTAAAACCTTATTTTCAAATATCACAAATCTGACTTTGAAAATTGTTGTTACTTTGCAGCCCTGGCATTCAAAAAGTTTGATTTAGTAATTGAAGATAATATTAATGAAAGCATTAATTTCACTTACCGATGTGAAAACTCCTCCTACAATAGCTGCGTTCCTTTTGTGCTTACCAGAAGACTTGTACCTGGTATATAATTTCCTACCAACCCATACAGGAATGCCTAGAAAATGATAAAAAGTTCACAAAAAAGTTATGTCCAAGTTCATCAGTGATGATATTACAAGAGAGTAGGAAGGAGTAAACAAGTAACAAATGTTTTGGAGAAAAAAACAACAGTCGGAATTAAACGAAATTCCGACTTCAATCTCTGATTCCTCTAAAATTTCAACTTTGAACTTGTTATTTTATTGAATTCTGAACTTAAACTCGAAGTTTTATCAAATTTGGACTCCAAACTCAGTAAAAATTAAATGTGGCCTTTCTATGACTTCGTAACAAAGTGAGCCCCAAAAGAATGTCTTTGATTGCCATTTGATAGATATGGCAATCAATTTGAACTAGTACCCCATTTTTTTACTCGTCACTTTCTGTTGAAGAATATTTGTTTTGGAGTTAAAAATCCATGTTTATAATAGAAGAGAAAGTTCTTTCGAAACAACTGCTTTCAAAACAATAAAGTGTTTTTCGAATACAATACATTTGAAAAATGTATTTGAAACGTAATGCAAAACCCCACAGACCACGGTTTACAAATCCAAAAAAGGGTTATACAGTTTTCAAAAATATTTGGCAGCAAAAATCACTTCATATACACCTATCATGAAGATCTTCACTACGGTAATCAAAAAACAAAGGGAAACTCACCTATAATCATAGCCGGAACCGTTATTCCTGCTACCAAAGCAATGCCAACTGGAGCGCCGACTAGAGTTCCTAACTGCCACAGAATTTTCTTCTTCCTAGACCACGGTTTTTTACCCCAGAAGGTACAACCAGACGGACTGTAGAAAAGAAAAGGTCTACGGATTTTATTGCACGAATGAGACATTAAATTAACGAAAAAAAAAAGCAATTACTGGTCGGTAATTTTTGCAAGGTATTCAATTCTATATTTCGATGTGGAAGGAAAATACTAAAATATACGATTTTAAACGTCAGTCCGAGAAAAAATGAAAATTATTTATTTTCGAGTATTGGATCTCTACAAAATCTGAATGAATATTGATTCATCAAAGATACTAAGTTTGGAGAAATGTATTTGAAAATACCCAGAACAAATATATACAAAATAAACACAAATATTGTTTATTTCTGAAACTTTTTACTTGATTTTTACTCACTGTACCACTATTAATAAAGATTTTTATTAGTGATAATATGTTATTTATTATTCTTATACAATGTTGAATGTCTTGAAGAAATAAGATGATTTGATTATAAGCTGTTGATCAATTGGAAACTTAAAGAAGATCATTTTCAATATGTAGTTGAGAAAAAAGTTGTATTACTATAAAAATATTGAAGTGTGAAAAATTTTGTTTCAACTTCATTTATAGGTAGTTTCATCTTTTATTTCCTCATTCATATAATTTACTATCAAATATATACACACTTATTGCTTTCATTAAAACTGAAAGTTTTTTTTTTCAATTCATAAACTACATGTTCTCCAATTTTCATGTTGCCATGCAATTTAAACCTCTATCAACTGTGCTAATCCTTGCTCGTACAATGCTATATCGACAAATATTTTCACTTATACTCTCTCCATTGCAAAAAAAGTGTGCGTTTCGGGACGCCCTACAGAAGTGATAACTTAAAACTGATCTAGTTGAACTATTTATTATTGAAATTGTTCAACTCGAGAAAAGCTTAGGTTATTACTTAAATTTTATGTATATTAATATGATAATGTTAGATTTTTATAATACTGTCAATAGTACATATCTAACGCACACTAAACACTGACCATCAGTCCGACGAGAGAGGAAGTGCCTGCCTTCCGCTGACGTATGCGTGAGAGGAAGAGAAGCCAGACACGCTGGCGCCGTTATGAGTTAGGTAACGAAGCGGTTTACTCTTCCATAAGAAGTTATTTCTTCAAAAATAACTGCCTTCAGATTTTCAAAATATAATTTTTTTCTTTTTCTTAATTACAAACTATGTTCTGTTATACAAAATATCGATAGTTATCCAATTCTAGCTGGATTTTTGTTTTATTCACTGAATCTACTCGAATCATGTTCGTTCCATATACAAAAAGTGAAATTTTTTGTATTTATAATATTCTATGATTGCAAATACTGAAATTGGATTTTCAACTTTTTCTACTAAAACTGTTCCTAAAACTATTGAAAAAATTAATACTATCCGGAGGGCGATTATTTGACTTCTGTATTAGAAAGAACACCTTTACTCCACATTCTGAAATCCAGACAAAATTTCGCAGTCAATCAATTTCAATAATATTTCAGTTTATAAAGCTTTCAACTTGTCCATTAGCACAATTAAATCCAATAAAAAGCCACCGATCATAACATGGCAACGGTTCAAAACAAATTTCTAATTGGAAAGAATCCAATGTTTTGAAAATTCAATATGCTCTAAATATCGCAGTTACTAACTCTTCGGTAGCCGCATCTTTTTTTGGAACACGAGTACCCGCACTATATCTCTCAGATTGTATTACATTTCAAAATAAAAATGAACGTAAAAATGAAACTTTTTATTACATTTGAATAAAACGCAAAATAAACCCCATTTAAATGATTCGGAGCAATTACTGCACACCATGAGTGACTGTTATAGATATAATACATTTTTACATTTCACACGAAAATATCTTGTAAATCTTCTCTTTTTAGACCTCTTTTATGCACGTGCAGTTGTGCAATTTGCAGTCGAACAGCATAAAACGCTCAAAAATTATGTATGTAGGAGCAAGTGCTTCCTTTCATGCAGTTGCGGTCAAGAAATTTGCGGTCGGATGTGGCAAACGTGCGGTTGTCCGTCTAATCATACCGTCGAAAATATAGATTTGGACCACATACGCCCGACCACATGTGGTTATACATTTTTAAATACAGGTACCCAGACGGAGATTTTTATGCAGACGTTCAATGCTTTTATTGGCGCCATTCGCTCTGTTACCATCCCCCAAGTCCGAGTAAATAATTTAAATGAGTTCAGACGGGGCAGACGTCAACAAGGAACAGTTTATTGAGGAAATCAGATGTCGGACGGCTATTTGGGATATGCCGGACGGCTATTTGGGATATGCCGGACGGCTATTTGGGATATATCGTCGAAGATTGTAAAGATAGGAATATCAAAAAGAATCTGTGGATGGTTGACGTTTGATAGCTTCTCTTATTTTTATAGCAAGTTCGTTGAAATATCGAATAGACATTCTAAAATAGTTGAAGAATTTTTTCGATCCTCTCTTAACTTTATGTACAAGTTTCGATAGATCGTGTTCTAATAATAGGATGGACAGCCCACCGTATTTGTCTTCTTTGCTTTTTGCGATATATTAATAAATAATATAACACATAAGGATTCATTCTATTTCACTTGCCTGACAACACTGTACTAATAGATCTACCAGCCGCCTGACGGCACCACACGTTCGACTACAAACCACAAGCCATAAGAGGCCTTATAGTCTTAAAGAGAGAGAGAGAGAGAGAAAGAGAGAGAGAAAGAGAGAGAGAAATAGAGCTTCATCAACGTTCTCTTCATGTAAAACTTAAATATTGTTGCCAGCTACATTTAGCACAGTATAAAAAAATGACCAAAGGCCACCATTTTGTATTTCTTGCACAATTGTACGCGGTTTTATTATAAAACGTAACAATTTCCGGTTTAGCCTCTTCACCTCCTTCAGAGTCTACTGTATCATCATGATGCATTCTGGGTACAAAAATTACTGTTTTATTTTATTTTTTGAACATAAAACACTAATGTTAGTTCCTCCCGAAAGCCAAACACTGATGAAATTGGTTGCCGTATTTTGCCATTCGCAAAAACGGATTGAACACCTATTCCATTTTTCTTCACTGTCTCTACTATAGTTAATTTGTGGTCTTTCAAAATGCTAAAAACCAAATTTAAACTTGTAAACCAATTGTTTGTAGTGATGTATCTTCCGGTGCTGTGGATAGAAGAAGGCATTCTTTTCACAACTACCTCAGAATCATTTGAAACGCAATTAGAACCTTCTGATTGTTGCCCAACATAAACTTCCATGGCTTTGGTATAGAATATTTTCGCATCCACCATGGCAAATATTTTCATTTCATATATGCTTGGTTTCGAAGAGATATGCTATTTGAAGCTGCAATAACCTCTAAAAGCCTCCAAACTCTCATCAATAGTAAGGTATTCTGAGGGAGAATATAATTTTTCACAATTTTAATTGAATATTTCAAATAATTCTTCAACTGACGACACTTTATCAGTTTCCAATATGTCCGATCTTGTGTCTTTGTCATCAAATCTAATGAACTTCAATATGTTCATAGACATCCCATTTGTACTTCACGATAGTTTTGTGTTCAGAAGGTTGCTATTTAGCAACACCTGTTAAATAAAGGAGACCTAGAAGAGCGAATATTTCAGATGCATTAGTTGGCTTCACATCTCTCTCTCTCTCTCTCTCTCTCTCTCTCTCTCTCTCTCTCTTGACAATATTGGTAAGTTTTGGAAGCTATGAACTTATTTGTATATTCAACAACTATAGCAATAACGTCATTGCTGAATAAATATTTCCAGCATTCCAGAGGACTTTTTTCTTTCCAGGAAGATGGAATACTATACTGTAAGATCTTGTTCTAACATTCATGTTGAAGGGCAGTACTTTCCACTTCAGCTGCCTTGCCCAAGTAAACATGATTTTCTTCCATAGAGTTTTTATCACCAGTATCGTTGCCATCAGATAAATCCTGTTCAGATTTGGAGTCATCATCAAGAGTCTCAAAGGCATTATGATTTTCACTGATATATTAGTCATCACTATCGTAGGGTATTTCATCTGAAAATGTTTCACTTTTTAACATCAACAAAGTGCCCAATTCACCCTTTCTACTTTTAAAGTAATTATACACATTTAATATTACACTTTTTTCTCACCTTTTTGAAGTTATGAACCTGGCTTATTAACTTATTGCTTCAATCACGACTCAACTCATAACTTAACTATTTTCTTCTGACTGTTGCGCTATTGACAATGCCAAATATGACTTGAGTGGGCGGAGTCTTTTAACGCAGAGTTATTTTAACATTTCTGCGCTGACTCATTTTAATTGACGTTGACTATACCCGCACTGCATTTGGCAGATCTAACTAACATCAAGCTCTAAGACAAGAAGTTATAATACTGTGTTTAATCGTGTTTACCGAGTATACACGAAAAATGTATTGTGGTGGTCTCTCAGATCAGGTGTGGGTATCGAAGGGTTAAAACATTTCTAATGGTTTCCGAGGTCCAACTGATTATTTTTGTCAAGAACTGTATAAACTAGATGCTCAATTGAAGTCAATAATATTTATATAGACGAAATTTACAGAAAAAAATTCCAAGTCGATTGCTGTTCACTTTCTTGTTGTATTCTTACCTCAGGAAATGAAGATCGTTGATTTCTTTCATGCACAGCCAACAAAATTCTGCCCCACAGACAGCACACATCATATGGTTGCAAGAACCATCATCCATTTTCACTATCAACACTTGACATCGAGGACATGGTTTTATATCGTCCCCTGCAAAAAAAAAACGAAATGCAACTCTGAACAATTCCCCATCGAATTGTCAACTATGAACAACGAAAGTTAAAAAAATATTACACTTTTATCTAATGCAGGAACTATTAGGGGCCGATCAAATATTACGTAAGCACTAAAGGAAAGCAGGAGGGTCTTTGCTTTGCTTATTTTTGATGATATGGGGGTGGGAGGGTCTAGATGGTGATTACGTCAGCAGCAGTTATTTACTTTTTTACACATATGGCAACCCACACATTCTCTATGCTTGAAAAATGAGAAATGCATATAACAATATTTACATAAGCATGGGAGGGGGGGAATTGTAATAAATATTTTTAGGTAATAGTTGAAAGGCCCCTTAGAAGAATTGATTGGAAAATGGTTGAGAACCAAGATT